CTGTCTGCATTATCTAAGACTCCCAGTATGATGTTAAAGGAATGGTGAGAGAGGGCATGCTTGCCTTGTTTCTGAGCTTAGGGGGAAAGTAGTCAGTCTTTCACCATTAAGTATAATGTTAGCTGTAGGTTTTTCAAAGATGGTCTTTATTAGGTTAACGAAGTATCCTTCTACCTCAACTTTAGTAAGAGTGTTTATCATGAATAGAGTTGAATTTTGTTGGATACTTTTTCTGCCTATTGAAATGACACTGAGAACAAATATGTATTTAATCCTATGTTAATCCTATTCCTCCTATGTTAATAGGAGGAGTTTACATTGCATTTCTGGAATAAGCCCACATGATTAGGATGTATTTTCATTTTTATATACTTCTGGTTCTAATTTGCTAATATGTTGTTAGGGATTTTTACATATATGTTCATGAAGGATTTTGGTCTGTATTTTTCTTTTCTTGTAATGTCATTGTCTGGTTTTGGCATCAGAAGAAATGTTGATATCATAAGATGACCTGGGGAGTATTCTTTCTTCTATTTTCAGGAATGTGTAAAACTGGCATTATGTTTTCTTTAAAGGTTTGGTAGAATTCATTAGAGAAAGCCTCTGGGCTTAGCGTTTTCTTTTATGGAAGATTCCTAACTTTAAATTAAATTTCTTTAATAGATATACAACCATTGCAATTATCTATTTCTTTTTGAGTTAGCCTCGGTAGTCTATGTCTTTCAAGATGTTCTTGAAAGTTATGTCTTTCAAGAAGTTTCAAATAATTTTAACAGCAATGTAAACAGAGCAGAAGACAGGATTAGCAAACTAGAGTACATTTCAAAAGAAAGTATCTAAACTAGAAAGAGAGAGAGAAAAAAAAAAGAATTAAAAACATCAAAATAAGCATAAGATACATATGATACACAGTCTAAAGACCTTATATAAATGTAACTGGAAATTCCAGATGGACAGTAAATAGATATTGGGGCAGAAGCAATGTTTAAAGAAAGAATGAACAGGTTTTCCAAAACTGATGAAAGATATCAACCTAAAACTTTAAGAAGCTCTGCAAACTTAACGTAGAATTGATCCAAGAAAACTACATCTAGGTATATCACAGTACGATTACTAAACACAAAGTTGAAGAGCAAATCTTAACTGCAACAGAGGGGGGAAACTCCACATTACTGCAAAGGAATGACAGCTGACTTTTCAACTGACACAAATGAATGGCTTCTTTAAAGTGCCCAAGGAGGGAATTCCCTGGCAGTGCAGTGCTTAGGATTCCACTTTCACTGCTTTCACTGCCAAGGGCACAGGTTCAATCCCTGGTCAGAAAACTAAGATCCCATAAGCCATGCGGTGTGGCAAAAAAAAAAAAAAAAAGTGCCAAAGAAAATAACCACCAACCTAGAAATGTATAACTTTATATCTAGTAAAACCACCCTACACAGAAGTAAAATCATGATGTTTTCAAACAAACAAAACTGGAATTCAAAGCCAGGATAATAACATGAAAGAAAGTACTAAAGGGAGTTTTTTGGGCAGGAGGAAAATGACTCAGAAATCCAAATGGGAATATGGAATTGCAGGAAAGGATGAAGAATAATAGAAAGGGTAAATATGTGATTAAAATGAATAAACATTACTATGCAAACAAAATTAATTTGTTGTGTGTTTTATATATGTAGAATCAAAATTCATGATAATAGATGTTCAGAAGAAGAGGTGGGGGCTTCCCTGGTGGCACAGTGGTTGAGAGTCCACCTGCCGATGCAGGGGACACGGGTTCGTGCCCCAGTCAGGGAAGATCCCACATGCCGTGGAGCGGCTGGGCCCGTGAGCCATGGCCGCTGAGCCTGCGCTTCCGGAGCCTGTGCTCCGCAACGGGAGAGGCCACAACAGTGAGAGGCTCGCGTACGGCAAAAAAAAAAAAAAAAAAAAAAGAAGAGGTGGGTTAAAAAAAGAGTTAACTGTTTTTAGGTCCCAACATTACTGGGGAGGTCAACAAAGAAATAATTTGTTATATATGCAAGTTGAAATCTCTAGAGAAATGAATAACAGAATAGTAAAAAAATGAATAATGAGTTAATAAAAAGGAAATGGATAATTAAAAAGTTACTAATCCAAATAAAATCTGCATCAATCTACATAAAAATTCTAGATTTTCATTATTGGAAAGAAATCTCATGTGCTATTCACAAGATACGCACTTTAAATATATTGATAAAAAGCAAAGGATGGAAAAATATACACCATGCATATACTAGGGAAAAGAAAGCTGCTATAACTATACAACTGGCAGACAAAACATACTGTGAAACAAGAAATATTACTAGAAACAAAAAGGGAACCTACATAAGAGGTTTGTATCGTAGTCTGAAATCTGTATCCAACTAACAATTTGGCTTCAAAATACATAAAATAAAATTAACAGAACTAGAAAGAAAAACAGACATATTCACAATCATAAAACTTGAAACTTTCATGAAATTTGACACCTACCTACCACTATACAGAAAAAAATAATTCCAACAAAAAGCCTTTAGAAGAAAACATATGATAGAATCTTGAACTAGACTGATGGAAGAAATTTTCACATATTGAGGTATGGGGAATCATTCTGGCTTGTACATCATTTGGCTTGAACTTTATGCTAACTAGAGCCAGCAGTCTTATGGTCTGTCAAATGTACATTGTACAATTGCTTTAACTAAAAACAACAACAACAGCAAACAACAAAAATGCACGTTGCACTTACCAGACTGTTTAGAATGTCCACTTGGAAGACAGGGATAAATGTGCGCCCTTTCTATGACACTAATGCTAGTACTCCTTCGAAGATGCGGTTCCCTTCTCAGACACTGTGGTCATGCTGACTCGCTGTGTATGTGCTAATCAGTCTCTTTGGAAACTTTGAAGGACTGTACCCCTGTCATTTCTGATGTTTGTTCTTTGTTCTGACAAGATATGAAACTGCGGTTCAGGCATCCAAAATGGAGCCAGTTGGTCACTGTGGATGTGGTTTCAGACACGTTCCTGCATCACTAAGACCTTGAAATTTTCTGAACTGTATCAAACTCAAGGATACCACCAGCAGTTCTCAAAACAACATCTGCAGCTGCAGCCAGCTGCAACCTTAAGGTCTCAAGGTCTCCCCCTGTGACTACACAGCCATTTCGGACCCTAACCAATCCTTACTTAATTCATCTACCTAACTGTAACTCTGCGGTTTTTGCTGATATAAGCCTCCTCCACTTTGTAGTCTGGCAGAACACAATTCAAGTGCTTCTCCTTCACAATTCAAGTGTCCTCGGCTATAGTCCTCAGTCTGGCTCTAATAAAGCTCTTCTCTATTCCTATTTTGGATTTATTATTTCTGTTGACAAGACAAAAATTATAAAAATGCTAATAAAAAAAGATAAATTTGATTCATTGTACGTAAGAACTTCTTTTCATCAAAAGATACCATTAAGAGAATGAAAAGGCAAGGCACAGAGTGGAAAAAGAAAATTGCAAAACATATATCTGACGTATCAAAAATCAACATGGAACTTTAACAAAACAAAAAAAGAGACAACTCAGTATAAAAATAGGCAAATAACTTGAACAAGTACTCACGAAAGAGGATATCCAAATAGCCAATAAACATATGTACTAGTCATCAAGAAACAGCGAATTAAAACCATTATGTTATAAAACTATTTCTCACTATCAAAATGCCAAAATTAAAATACACACACACACACACAACCTATCAGTAGTAGCGAGGACAAACTGAATTCACACAGGCTGGTAGTGGGAGTGTAAACTGTTAAAATCACTTGGAAAAGTCTTTGGCGGTATCTAGTAAAGCTTAATGTTTACACACTCTATGAGCAATTCCACTGGTAGGGACATACCCAAATAAAATGTATACAATGTTACCCAAGGATTAATAAGCTGTTCATAGCAGTTCTAAAATAGCTCAAACCAGAAACAATCCACATGTCCATAAATAGAGGAATGCATAAATCAATGGCAGTATTTTCACACAATGAAATACCATGCAGCAGCAAGAGTGCAGAACTATATATAACAAGATGTCTGTATTGCAAAAATGTCTGAATTGAAAAAACAAAATGAAGTAACTAAGAAAAGAAGGGAAAAGACATGGTTGGATGTCATTTGTATAAAGATCAAAAATATACAATACTAATCTTGCTATTAGAAGTTAGGATAATGTTAACCCTGGGAGTGACAGTCACTGGGACTATCTATATTACACTTTGAAAAGAAATTTAATTTAAAATCAATATGCATACAGAAACTTTCAACAGTACAAACTGATGTCAATGTCACATAATCCAGTTATATCCCCAGGACTAAGCTTGGTGTCCAACATGACTCATGATAAACAATTGTTTTTAAATTAATGAGTGAAACAAGAAATCAAACACAAAAAGAATAATATACTGTAATTATTTCCCAGCTGTTGTTCATATATATATTTATTTGCCTTACGTCAGAAAGTATTCTCATACTGATCTTCTCTAATATTAAACCTGACAAACCTGACCTCTTCTTTTCCTCTTTTAAGTTTTAATTAACATAAAAATCAGCTGGGAAACTTCTCCAAAATACATATGTCTCATCCCATCTCTCGTTCTACCATTTAATCAAATCTGTTTGCAGGAAATGGAATTGTTTTATTCTGGGTCACAAAACAAGGGTTCCCATATTTTGAAGGCTGTGAAAAAATTATCATAAAGTCACTACTTACTGACTCTTTATGAGATAGTTATCACTAACATTTTTTATAGTTCACATGATCTGTGTCAAACATTTTGCATAATGACTCAGGTCAAGCAGGAAGTTAGATACATTGCCTTTAGCAAAACCACTGACTTCCATTAAATGGAGGTTGTATCTTTTCTATTCCTTCCCAGTGATTAAACTTTGCGAGCTTTAAGCATCTTGGGTGGTTTTCATGCCTAATTATAAAAAGCCTTCAAAAGGAAAATTTAGAAACTAACATATAAATGTCTCTGATGAGCCTGATGTGATTTCAAGACATTCTTTACCCGGTCATGGATCTCATCGCAGTTTGAAGGTGAACACCAGTCAGAATGGAATCTGTAGGCATAAAAAACAAAGGTGACTTGTAGCCAGAGGGAGAGAAAAGTAAATCTTTCCAAATGCCAGACACAGAAAGTTATTTTTTCTTATCTCTATGTGATAACATAAAAAGATTAAAATAACATATTTTCTTTCTTTGACCGAGGACGAGAGGCAGGTGTAAAATCAGGTGCTAATTCTCAACTGTAGTATTAAGTCCTCACAATATGTTCCATTAACAGTCTTAATAATAAAGTTTGACATGATTTGGGGAGAGCATATCTATATATCTGACCATTTTAACAATTTCCATACATAATTCTTTAGAGGTTTATCTTTAAATAAAGATATAAATTTTTATATTAGAGCAATAACTCCACCTATAGTGCCTTTAAAATTAGTTCTTATTTTCCAGTCTTGAAATTAAACATGTCAAAGAAGAAGGAAAGCAACTATTCCTCTTTCTCATACCCTTCCCAAACTCAAAACTGGCACTTGTATAATTAAGCTACTTTATTTGTTTTATACAAGTAATAATGAAAATTTCCACATCCATCTGATTATAATGCATCTCATGACATATTCTTGGTAATTCCTTTATAAAGGAATGAGTACTAAAATGTTAACAGGTTGCTTAAAACTTTCTAGCTCCCAGTTTGTTCTTACAAAGTTATAATTTTATGTGTTTACACAAAGTATAAACTGTTAAGCAGGATAAATGATTTACATAATCTGTTTTAAAGAATGCAATCAGTAATGGATGATCAACTATATATAAATGTTAATCTCCTGCATTTGTAATAGGAAGTGTTGCTGCATTTATGGAAATATATCGGCAGACCTTGCTATTTGCTACATATGTAACACATCTTGAAAATCAGAGACCCAAATATCCAGCTCCAAGAGGATCTCTTCAATGATACTATGAGAGGATCCACTAGTCTGTGCTGTGGTATAAGAAATAATTACCTAGCAATCTAACTCCATTTACAAAAAGCAAAACCTTTAGCATGATCAAAAAGAATATCAGCTCCTTTTAAATTAGATTTTCTATTATTTCTTAGTCTGATTTTAGTAATAACTCTACAAGCTAATATAAATTATAAGTCATAATATTAATATTTATACTTTAAGGAGAAAACTGCTTCTGAAATGTAACACTTAAAATCAAAATTGAAACCCTTGCATACAAGGTTAACCCTATTGGAGGTATTCTATTGTGCTAACCCTATTGGAGGTATTCTTTAAATAGGCTTAAAGCAAAAAGGACTTTCACTATAAATAAATTCATTTGCTTAGAGTCACTGGTAAAATTTTCAAAAGTCTGTTTATTCATATACATGATTAAGGAGTCAGCTTTTTACAGCAATCTTAGAGGAAAACTTATTTAATTTTAATGAAGATTTACCTAGATAAACCAGAGCTGTATGTTCTGTCATATTCCCAAGTTTGCCTGGGACAAAAAATCTACACTTACATCAGTTTAAATTGTTTATTGATTCCAATGGATTGTATAAACATAGTATATTTCTCAGTGACCTAAAAGCCAGATCAGAGAATGTCTTATATTTAAAGATGTGGTACTGAGTGTGCTAAAAAGAACAAAATGTTTTTGTTCCTAGTAATGTCTTAAAGACATATTGTTTGACATATTTTACTTTCTTCTATAGACTAGATCTAGATCTTTTTTAGAAAATACACTCAAAGCAGAGGTGTTCTACGTTAGTGAAAGTAAAAACGTTTATTTACCCTGGAAAGTACCCCAATAAAATTTTATTAACTTATTTAGATGTATTCAAACTAAATTGCCATTATATTCTTTTATTTTAAAAGTACCTCAAATTTCCTCAAGTCATAAGTAAAATATGTAATGTTTAATATTTGAATCACTGATATCCTTCTGGCAAAGAACTTATTTATCTATATCTACTATCCAACATCAAAATAAATGTGTAAATGCTGTTACCTACTCTAAACCATCCCCTGCATTGAAATATGAAAAAGGGACAGTTGACTTTAGCTACCCTCAATAAAGAATTTTTGAAAATAGCCTCAGTGAAGAATTTATCAACCTGGCTTCAAAGCTGGGACAATTTATACAAGGATAAAATAACACAAGACTAAAATTGATATTTTACTATAGTAGTAGACAACTGGAGAGTTCTGTAAAATATGCAAAAAGGTAGAAAACTAAATCAATATTTATAAAAACATATGCAAGGAGATACAGGTAAAAAAAATTCTTGAAAACCTACAGATATGGCAAAGAACCTAATCAAGAAAACCACAAGGGCTTCCCTGGTGGCGCAGTGGTTGAGAGTCTGCCTGCCGATGCAGGGGACACGGGTTCGTACCCCGGTCTGGGAGGATCCCACATGCCGCGGAGCGGCTGGGCCCGTGAGCCATGGCCGCTGAGCCTGTGTGTCCGGAGCTTGTGCTCCGCAACGGGAGAGGCCACAACAGTGAGAGGCCCGCATACCACAAAAAATAAAAAATAAAAAAAAGAAAACCACAAGTGCTTAATTCTAAAAGTAGGGAAAAAGAGTGTGGCACCAACTGAATATCTGAACATCTGAGCAGACATGGAAATCAAAGAAAGTCCCTGAAAACTGAGATGCAAGTTACCAGACTTCAGTAGAAAAACCTCTCTTCAAGAGCTTCTCCTGAACTTTTAAAGCCTATAGATACACAGACATATATCTCCCTATGTAAATATACAGTTGTATCTATCTATCTATGTATCTATCTATGTATCTATGTATCTATCCATCTATGTATCTAGCTATGTATCTATCTATGTATCTATCTACCTACCTACCTACCTACCTACCTATCTGTCTGAACTTGATCTCCATAGGCATAATTCTAATACACTTGAAGCAACATTCATCAAAATTCCCTATCTCAGGATGGGGGTCTCTAGCATACCTTCATATACCCATTTCAAATGCTTACAGGGCTAATGAGGAAATAGATAAATCTATCTGTTCAAGACAGAGATGTTTTAATACAGTTTCCAAACTGATATACTCTTGTTTGAATCATCAGTTTTGAGATGAACTTTTGATAGACTCTCTACAGCTAATTTAAACTTTCTTATTTATGCCTGATAGCCCTAAGTACGCTGCAGGAATTTGGTGTGGTACTTTAGCTTTTTGATACCACTTGTAAAGATAGGTTTTATTTCTACGTGTTGACGGCATATCTCTTAGGTTTTCAAATTTCTATAAAATTTCTTAAATACCCAGGGTTGGGTTTTCGGTTTTGTTTTTTAATTTATGACAACTCTGGTTTTCTATGTTACCATGAGGGAGGCAAGGAATTTCCAATTTGGATTCAACAACAACAAAAACAGATGAAGAAGAATTATTTCTTTCACATTCAAATTATAACAAGTGTCTAACTTTGTTTGCCAAAGCATTTTTAGAGGGAGAACTAGAATCTTTACATAAGGTTAAGATAGACAGACGATTAAGATTCTCTTGGCAAGTTGGGGGTAGGTAATTTGAGGAAAATAGGCGCCATGTACCAATAATATATAGTATCATCATTATCACTAAAAGGAAAATATAACCTATGCTATTTTTATACATAAGCCATGACTATAATATTAAATCTCTATGAATCTACTAAAAACAAACTATCATATACTCTATTTTTCACTTGGGAACTACAAAATTTAATTAGGGTTAAAGTGACCCTAATTAATAAACTCACTAATAGTTAATAAACTCACTTTGAGAGAACTGGGCTGGGGAGGAATATCTAGCATTGTATAATATGCAATATGTTCTAAACAAAAACAATTTAAAGTAAGTCTCTTAGAATCAGATTATCCCGTTACGAATAATCACATCACATACATAATCACTGCCTGCTCTTTCCTTTTTTTTTTTTTTTTTTTTCGGCACGCGGGCCTCTCACTGTTGTGGCCTCTCCCGCTGCGGAGCACAGGCTCCGGACGCGCAGGCTCAGCGGCCATGGCTCACGGGCCCAGCCGCTCCGCGGCATGTGAGATCTTCCCGGACCGGGGCACGAACCCGTGTCCCCTGCATCGGCAGGCGGACTCTCAACCACTGCGCCACCAGGGAAGCCCTGCCTGCTCTTTTCTAATGATGATTATTCAAAAATTTAGTACAGAAATAGAGACCAAGCATTACCTTTCCCTGAGAGAAGCACGATTTAATACAGGGCTTGGAGAATGCTTCGGCATTGTAGAGGGTGCTGAATGAACGAGTAAGGTCCTGGATGAATGCTGGGGATTGCTACATGACCTTGAGCTCAAATAGTCATCACATCTTTCCAAAGAGTCATCGAAGTCTCTCCCATGAGGTGTTCTGATGACCTGTTTAAAAATTTTTTATATATATACATATATATGTGTATATATATATATATATATACACATATATATACATGTGTATATATATATATATATATACACACACACACACACACACGATATATATATAGAGATTATACACACACACACACACACACACACATACCCTTTGTAAAAGTAAAAAAATCAAATATAATGCCACAGCTATATTTGAAGGTAAATTTCAAAATGTAGCAGTCATTACTACCACTGCATGACTAGACATTAAATACATATGATTATTCATTCCACATGTCCAAAATCTACAGAACTTTATCAATTCCAATGGCTTTTGAGTAGGAATAGGGTAAAGGTAGGGATGTATATATAAAACAAAGGACAAATACACATGAACTAATGATAGTCTAGTTTATCTATGAGGCCAAACAAAACAGAATTCTAGTCCTCATACTCATTCATTGCTTCATAATAAATCAGGGTAGATAAATGAATAAATTCCTACCCTTGTAGAACTTATATTCTAGTAAAATTTACATTCTAGTAAGGAGAGAGAGATTTAAAAACACACACCTGGAGTCTGTCATACAGAGTGAAGTAAGTCAGAAAGAGAAAAACAAATACCATATGCTAACACATATATATGGAATCTAAAAAAAAAAACAAAAAAAAAAAAAAAAAAACATGGTTCTGAAGAACCTAGGGGCAGGACAGGAATAAAGACGCAGAAGTAGAGAATGGACTCAGTTGAGGACACAGGGAGGGGGAAGGTTAAGCTGGGACGAAGTGAGAGAGTGGCATGGACTTATAAATACTACCAAATGTAAAATAGACAGCAGAAAGCAGCCGCATAGCACAGGGAGATCAGCTCAGTGCTTTGTGACCACATAGAGGGATGGGATAGGGAGGGTGGGAGGGAGGTGCAAGAGGGAGGAAATATGGGGATATATGTATATGTATAGCTGATTCACTTTGTTATAAAGCAGAAACTAATACACCATTGTAAAGCAATTATACTCCAATAAAGATGTTAAAACACACACACACACACACACACCTGCCCGCCCAAAATAAATAGGTAAAATATACAGTATATGGAAGGATGGTAAATACCATGGGAAGAAAATAAAGGCGATAAGAAGTGCTGCTGGGTGGAGTGGCAGGGGTATGTAGGGCAGGAGCTGTAATTCTAAATACAGTAGTCAATTGGGACCTCACAGAGAAGACTGTCCTAGTAAAGACCTAGGGAGTAAAGGCCTGAAGACCCTAGTGAAGACCATAAGACCTAAGTCAGGGGGACATTTGTGAGAAGAACATTCCAGAAAGAGAGAAAAATAAACACAAAGATCCTGTGGATGGGGTAGGGTGCATGCCTGATAGTTAGAAATAGCAAGGAAGCCAACAGGGCTAGACAAAATAGTAGGAAATAAAGTAAATAAGGTAAATTTTAAGGATTTAGCCTTCTATTCTAAACAGAGGAAAAATAAGCTCTTTTTATTTTTTTGTAAGTAAGATCTCCTCGGCTACTGTGTCGAGAACAGTCTATAGTGGGCCCAAGGGCAAAGGCAAGGAAATCAGTTAAGAAACTATTACAACAAAGTATGGAAAGAACGCTGGCTTGATTCTGAGTGATAGCAGTGGAGGCAGAAAGTGATCAGATTCAGAAGTCATCTGGAAGATACAGCCAACAGGATTTGCACAGACTGACTATCAAGGATAACATCAAAGTTTTCTGGTGAAATCAACTGGAAGAGTTGAGTTTGTATGAATTAGCTATACCCTTCCAAATGGACAGGTGGAAGAGTAAGATATTAGGAGTCTGGTTTTGGACATGTTGAGCTTCACACATCTATTCATCATCCAAACTATTAAAGCAGAGGTTCAGGAGAAGAGTCCAGGATAAATGTACAAGCTGGTAATTTCCAGAGTCTAAATGGCATTTAAAAGTATGGCACTAGGTGATATAACCAAGGAAGTGAGCATAAACAGGAAACACCTGAAAACTGAGCCCTGGGAAGACTCCACTGTTTAGAGGCTGGGAAGATGAGGAGGAAACAAACTGAGGAATGGCCAGGGAAGAAGTGGAAGAAAAAGGAGAATGTGTTATTCTGGAAGTCAATTAAATAATGTATTTCAAGGAGGAGGAGTAACTAGCTCGGTCAAGTACTGCTGACAGGTCAAGGCAGAAAAGGCTAGGAATGAACTTCTGGATTTTAGCAGCGGGGGGGGGGTCATAAATAATATTAATAAGAGTAGCTTTGGTGGGGGCTTCCCTGGTGGCACAGTGGTTAAGAGTCCGCCTGCCAATGCAGGGGACATGGGTTTGAGCCCTGGAACAGGAAGAGCCCACATGCCGCGGAGCAACTAAGCCCATGTGCCACAACTACTGAGCATGTGAGCCACAAATACTGAGCCCGTGTGCCACAATTACCAAAGCCCATGCACCTAGAGCCCATGCTCTGCAACAAGAGAAGCCACCGCAATGAGAAGCCCATGCACCACAGCGAAGGGTAGCCCCGGCTTGCCACAACTAGAGAAAGCCTGTGTGCAGCAACAAAGACCCAACACAGCCAAAAATAAATTAAAATAATTTTTAAAAAAGAGAGTGATAACCTGGAGTTAAGTTCAAGAGAGAATGAGAGAGACCTAAATGTAAGGCCAGACACTATCAAACTCTTAGAGGTAAACATAGGCAGAACACTGTATGACATACATCACAGCAAGATCCTTTTTGACCCACCTCTTACAGAAATGGAAATAAAAATGAAAATAAACAAATGGGACCTAATGAAACTTAAAAGCTTTTGCACAGCAAAGGAAACCATAAACAAGACAAAAAGACAACCCTCAGAATGGGAAAAAATATTTGCAAATGAAGCAACTGACAAAGGATTAATCTCCAAAATTTACAAGCAGCTCATGCAGCTCAATATCAAAAAAAGAAAAACCCAATCCAAAAATGGGCAGAAGACCTAGACATTTCTCCAAAGAAGATATACAGATTGCCAACTAACACATGAAAGAATGCTCAACATCATTAATCATTAGAGAAATGCAAATCAAAACTACAATGAGATATCATCTCACACTGGTCAGAATGGCCATCGTCAAAAAATCTACAAACAATAAATGCTGGAGAGGGTGTGGAGAAAAGGGAACCCTCTTGCACTGTTGGTGGGAATATAAATTGATACAGCAACTATGGAGAACAGCATGGAGGTTCCTTAAAAAACTAAAAATAGAACTACCATACGACCCACTACTGGGCATATACCCTGAGAAAGCCGTAATTCAAAAAGTCATGTACCACAATGTTCATTGCAGCTCTATTTACAATAGCCAGGACATGGAAGCAACCTAAGTGTCCATCGACAGATGAATGGATAAAGAAGGTGTGGCACATATATACAATGGAATATTACTCAGCCATAAAGAGAAACAAAATTGAGTTATTTGTAGTGAGGTGGATGGACCTAGAGTCTGTCATACAGAGTGAAGTAAGTCAGAAAGAGAAAAACAAATACCGTATGCTAACACATATGTACGGAATCTAAAAAACAGGAACAAAAAGAAATGGTCATGAAGAACCTAGGGGCAAGACGGGAATAAAGACGCAGACCTACTGGAGAATGGACTTGAGGATATGGAGAGGGGGGAGGGTAAGCTGGGACAAAGTGAGAGAGTGGCATGGACATACATACACTACGAAACGTAAAATAGATAGCTAGTGGGAATCAGCTGCATAGCACAGGGAGATCAGCTCGGTGCTTTGTGACCACCTAGAGGGGTGGGACAGGGAGGGTGGGAGGGAGGGAGATGCAAGAGGGAAGAGATATGGGGATATATGTATAACTGATTCACTTTGTTATAAAGCAGAAACTAACACACCATTGTAAAGCAATTATACTCCAATAAAGATGCTAAAAAAAAAATTAGGTAAATACCAAGGAAATCTGAGTAAATTAAGGACTTTAGTTAATAATAATATATCTATATTGATCCATTAATTATAGCAAATGTACCATACTAAATAAGATGATAATAATATGAGAAACTGGGTATGGAGTATATGAGAACTCTCTGTACTATCTTTGTATTTTTTATGTAAATATAAAACTGCTCTTAAAAAAAAAAAAGAACTGCCAGTAAAAAAAAAAATTAGAATTAAGCTATGCTAGGTAAAATTTTAAAATTTAACTTGCCCTTTTTCTTACATTTATTTTCTTTATGCTTCCAATCCACCAATGTTCTTTCTGTTACATTTTTATCTTATGATTTTATCCCTTAGTTCAGGTATTGTTTTATAATGCACATCCCTACTATATCATGTACATATCACAGAGAAAGTGGATTAGTAGTGTTGTAACACACAAAAACATCACCCTTGGGCAGACTTTTCATACCAGGCACATCTCATAGCCCCATCCTTTGTTGGTTGCCTTTGGGTTCCTATTCCTGACGCAATGGTGTCTGGATGATAGTGTTGACGTAACTCAAAACATGGTGACTCATGGCTGCGCTTTCACTAGAGGCCCCAGAGATATGGCAGTTATCTGGTAAACCTAACCATCCTAGGTCCTGATTACGGTAGACTTCAAACCCTCTTTTGTATTGACCCAGCTTTCTTATCTCTTCTCTGGCATATATTCCCTGCAAATATTATGCCAATGTACCCAAGACACTAAATGCTTCTAGAAAAAAAATTAAATTAACCATATAGATTGGTTAGTTTTATTATGAATTTATTATTGTCAGTATGATACGGACACTCAAATTACTTTGACATTCTCTAATGCCAGCATCCTCACTGGAATTAATACATCCTTCCCATAATGTTCTTTAAATCCTCTGACACACTCTCACACAGATGTTTCTAACTTGCTACCTCTGCTCTCCTGTGAATCTACTGAGTCCACACATGTATGCTCCCTTCTATCTAATCTCAGAAGTTTCTTCGATCCAAGAATAACACCTACCTCCATCTGTGCTTTATCCCCATTCTTTTT